GCCCTGCCGATAAATTGGTACGGACGGACTGCGGTCGGTGGTTGGTCACCGTCGTCAGCGGACGCCGTCGACTCGTCACCGCCACTGCCACCGCCGTCGTCAGCGTCGTCAGCGTCAGCCATATCGCCGAGCTACGGGCCGTCACCGTCGCATCTGCAGCACCAGCAACAGACACCRGCGCCACCGCAGCAGTACCAACTGTACTCGGGTGAGAGCGACGCCACCACCGCGTCGTCGTCGGCCGGAGGCGTAGGAGGAGTCAAGCGCAAGTCCAACGGCACCGTGGGCCGGTACAAGTGCGCCGCATGCTCAAAAACGTACTCGACCGTGTCAGGGCTGACCAAGCACCARCAATACCACTGCGCGGACGACGAGGCGCAGTGCGCTGCGGCCAAGACGTTTCGGTGCAAGTACTGCGACAAGGCGTACAACACGCTCGGCGCGCTCAAGATGCACATCCGCACGCACACGCTGCCGTGCATATGCAAGCTGTGTGGCAAGGCGTTCAGCCGGCCGTGGCTGCTGCAGGGCCACATCCGCACTCACACAGGCGAGAAGCCTTTCTCGTGCCAGCACTGCAACCGGGCGTTTGCAGACAGGTCCAACTTGCGCGCCCACCTGCAGACCCACTCGGATGTGAAGAAGTACTCGTGCCCGACGTGCAGCAAGACGTTCAGCCGCATGTCGCTGCTCACCAAGCACTGTGACACCGGATGTCCGCGGCTGTTGCCCCACCACCAGCAGCAACAGCAGCAACAGCAACAGCAGCAGCAGCAACAGCAACAGCAGCAACAGACGGTTTAGACCGTGACTGCAGGACCGACCTATATGGTGCGCGTCATTACTGCATACATTATATATGTTAAATTATTATTAAACATATATTTATATAATCATTATTATTATTATCATATTCGTTTATGGTTATTATTATTTTTATTATTATTACCAATTATTATTATTATTATTATTGTCAGCGCAGGTGTGATTGTGTCGAATTCCTATATATTATTATGTAATTTATTTTATTAAAAAACCCAAAAAATTATCGGTAAAAAAAGATTCTTAAGAAAAGCGCATTTAAATCTTTGCCGATATATTATGCCACGCCTGTGCAGTCCGACATATTATTATATAAAATGTTTTATCTACTATTAAACGTACGCGCTAGTCACTTTACTATCATCTATATAATAATAACCGCACTGTGTTAGATATTAAGTTCATTTTTTCTCCCTTATTATTATTATTTCATTATTATTATTATTATTATTTTGTTTAACGGGTACGTATATGTGCAAACGGTGACGATTAYTTTGTTATATTATGCGCAGTARGTGACATATAATAATCTTAATAGATTATTATGAAAATCCAAAGTCCTTTCGCCGTGCCCAGAGGTGCCTTATTATATCATATTATTATTGTAAAACCTTATTTTGCTTTGGATGCATGAACGCTATTACGACGATAATTTCACGCTTACATGATAATACACAATATCGCTATTATAATATATATAAATATATCATGTAAAACTGAACTTTATTATTAAATGTATATTAAAATGTTCTTATTACTTATCATTGAAATATACATTATATAATAATATATGGACTGATATGGTGTACAATGTTTAAGTCGCCATAATGTTTAACTAGTCGTTCGCCCGTCGTTGTATACAATATTAACCAATAAGTCGCAAATGATCAAGCGCAGTTATAACGAMGACGTAATAATTATATAATAATAATATAACAGTCATTATATATCTCATATTGTATCATAAATAATATTATGTTTGATTTGTATCATTACTATTATTATTTTTTTTTTTATATATATACCTATTTTTCTGTATTATTTAACCAACATTGGTCAACCATGTTTATATTTCATTTAATAAAAACAAAAAATGTGATACATAAACAATAATTTTGGTGTATTTTTCTGCGGAACGACAAAGTTCCTGCAAGCCCCGTTTTTCGAACCCGCATTRTCTGGCGTTTTACGGAGACGATTGCTCGCGATACGCATATATTACGATATAATAATATATAGTATTAAGTACCTGCAACAGTGTACAAGCTGCAGCAGGGTTCTGAAGGGTGAACAGGTTTATGGTTTATTATTATTATTATAATTTTTTTCCCGTCTTCTGCTTTTCCATCACGGCGATCATCATCGCGACTACCTGCAGCCGATCGGGGCGGTGCGTGTCAAAAACACGCGTGAGAAACCAACGAACGGATGTGCAGGCGGCGACCGGGATAATATGTATAATAATAATAATAATAATAATATGTATCGGGATCGGGATGCAACAAACATTAGAAATCCTATCGCTTCGTCGACAATGGCTGGATATCTTGTTTTTGTGTCAGGTCAGTAGCGATTTTGAAGGAGCGAACACTACCGCATCATACGTACCTATACGTCGGCGATGAATGCAAACACCGTCGGCGGCGGCGATAGGAAGAAAAGGAAGTGCGGGGGGAAAGGAAAAGATGAAGAAAAAAAGTAGGTAGTCCGTGTAGGTACAGGTACTGTGTATACAAGCATCATGTATGAAAATACGAGTGGTGCGCCGCGGGTTCTCATCAGAACCGATTGGGTGTACGTTTCCCAGCGCATTACCACCGAGGAATTACCTGCGTCGCGGGGGCGGCCGATTTCTGCAGACCGCGAATTGACATATTATACATCGTACATAATAATAATAATAATACTATGATGTTTCAATGAACGCGTAGTAGTTGTTCACCATTCACAATTTCGTCCCGAAAAAAAAACAACCTGCMCCACTGAGTATATAATATAATGTATAATATTATATTATGTGTWTCGTATTATATACATTATATGCGTGTGAAAATATTTGATTGACTCGACCGTTGACTACCTGTTATTACAATGTATAATATTTTGAGTGCATTATGGAAAATTCACCTGAAAATTGAAAACAGATTTGGGTTTGTATTTTAAATTTAAATTACTCTCAAATAAGAATCTGCCAATCATGCGTATTTGCAGTGGATGGTACGTTTTTGTATATATGCACCGATAATACATTATATATTTTAATGTTTCTTACAAATTCACACTGCATTTTCAGATATAAAAATAACAAATAAATTGAGAAAATAAATTAAAATGCGTGAAACAATGTTAGAAGTTAGAAGACTATTATCTTTAAAAAAATACATATACCTACAGATTACATGCAAAAATTAGGATAACTTTTTACGGCGAAAAATTAACTAACTACATGACAATAATTCAAATAGATCAGAAATTTAAAATAATACAAAAATTAACTATTAGTACTTTTTTAAATAAACAGTTTAAAACTTTAAAATTAACTTTCAATATTTCTTTATAAAGACTTTTGTTTATTAGTGGTAAATTTTAAGTAATGGTTATAATTTTGGAATCAGTAAGTATATACAGATAAATATATTTGCCCAAACATGTTGCGTCCATAATATATTGAGTATTGACCCATATATTATATTATGCGAGTATTATATATCTGTAGTACTATACATTTTATTGACCCCTTTGTGTACCACGAATTATTATACTGTGTATATAATATCATATTGTACATTGTGCATTTGTCGGTGCATGTATAAATTCTAAACAATCCCTATACATCAAAGAAAATCACGAAATAATAATGCTAACAAAACAAAATTGTCTATACAATTTATTTTTACAAAACGATTTAACAAGTTAAACTAAAGAAATCGAGAAATAAAAATAAAAACACTGTTGATAAATGCACTTTTCGAAACTCTCATCGGACAAGCTGTGATAAATTGACTAAGAAATGTCAACACATATAGAATTAACCCATAACTATATTTTATATTGACAAAAGGAGAACCTCCTAAATGGTTAAATGCCTATATGACCTAAATCCATTTTCTGCGGATCAGTTAGCTATATATATGTGTGTGTATGCAATATAACATAATATATTTCCCACGGATTATATTTATAATAAAAAATATAATATGAAGCAATAGCACTATAAAACACATCGAACATCTTCAACGCTTATATACAATTCCAATGCGTGAGTACTATATAGGACAAAAACACTGTTTAAATAACAAAAAAATAATAAAATTCTTAAAATAGATCAACTTTGAAAAGATAAGTAGTATAGAAAAAATGTATATAGATACAAACATTATAAAGTAAACATAATTTATATATATAAATATATCTATTACAAAGAAAATAAATATGTCGTTGATGTTTCTTAGAAATGTACAACAATTTACCTACTGAGCTTTATAATATTGTAAGATGATTATAATATTGAAATACTGTAGAATAATAATGTCTTATTCAGCGTAGTTATTTTTATAATATTAGGTAATAATAACACAGGTATATGGTATATAAATATATCATAATCTACAGGATCTATTTCTTATATATCAAATATGTAAGTACTAAGAGTATACATACAAGTAATACTAATCTACACATAGGTAATGGATACATAAGTGTCGTTTCCTGTGGGCCGAAGCCAACTTTTCTGGATGGTTAGAGGCCTCCACTTTTGTATAAATTGCTATGTTGGTGAATAAACGATACATGAGTGGGTGGCACTATTGTGATGAACAGTTCCTAATTTTTGAATAAGAAATAAAAGGTAGTAGGCACATACGATAAACTCTATAAATATATATATATATATTTTTTTACATATTTATTCTTAAAATGATTGTTATAACTAACAAGTATATTTCATAAAAATAGGTCCAGGACTCTAGAGCATATGCTTTACATTTTATCATTGCGTTGTTTGCAGTAGTCGATTAATAAAAATTTTATTTTATTTTAATGTGACTTATTATTTTTAAATTTTATATATTTTATACATTATATCAATTTGTAAAAATTATAGCGTGCCTAATTAACATGATATTTTACGAACGGTACCACGCTGCAGCAAGGAAAACATAAAGTATCATAATTTAAATTCTAACGTTTTTTCAGAAGCATTTAAATTTTGTAGGATATATTATGCGAGCGCTAGTCAATGTCTGTAGGTTTTAATGCTTGACATTTCCATGCTCGGATGTATTCATAACGTATTTACTATTTATATATTATACAACTTAAAATAATATAATTTCAAGTGACTCACATACATTATGAAGTGTATGTATAAGATAAAACTTGGTATTATACTATTATACTTAATATGCTCCACTATTTATACTATTAGTAGATAAAATATAACTATCAATAGTTTATCGTATCGAAGAGATTACAATTTGTTCATTGATGACAAAATCCAAATAATACTATACAGTGACATTTAAAAACGGGAATGTACGGTAACCATGAATGGATAGTATCGTTCAATAATCATACATCATTATCTCCCACAAGAATAGTGTGTCCGGAGGTCAATTTTTCGGTATCTGTTTTTAAATAAATTCTCTTATATGCGTATAATCGAATAAAAGACTGTCGTTTTATAGCACGCATAGAGTAGATAATAATATAACATATTATTATAATTATTTGAATGTGAATTGTGAATGTTTTCATTTTAAGTAAATTATAATATAGGTATAATGGCAGTAATGGCACCGGGACCTACAGATTATTAAAAAATAAATAATTATTTCTATTTATGATATAGTAAATATATACACATAATTTTTAAACCGATTCGAATATTATTAAATAATATAAATTATAATATAAATTTTTAAACCGATTCGAATGTTGTATTATACAACACTTGTTAGCTTTGTCTTGCATAGGTATCTAGTAAATGTTATGCAAAACAATAAATACACTAACGGCGGAATTACCTGCCGCATAACCGCGGTCCAGTGGTTTTTCATCACAGCTGCTATAATATAGTCTGCACCCTCTATTTAAAGGTTTAATGACCATACTATATACCTATTCTATTCGAGACAAACTATTTTGACCGTTATATTAATTTTTCTTCTGTACTAATAAATTAGTAATTTATCTTGAATATTTAACCATAGCTAAGTATAGGTTGAGACATTATTGCATTACTATGATAAATAAAATAATAAATAAATAAAGTAATGTTTTTGTAAATAATGTAAATAGTGTATACAACAATTAGCATTAACAATGTAAACTATGTCAGACAATGGCCTCCGCAGCCGAGGCTTATTTCTAATATAAAA